TAACTGTAAACAAGAGTTTCTTTTTGGTTCTGCAGAGACCCCTGTCTTGAGTCCAGGTGATAAGTTGCAGATGCAGTTTTACTGCCTTATAAATAACACATCTATTTCCATTCAGGAGTCAGCTCCCTGTACTGAAATAACATCACTAATAAATCACGCTGCTTGTAGAGCTAGAGCTGACATCTCCCGTTACTCAATACATACTTTTACTGCCATGTATATATATATATATATATATAAAACATTAAAAGTTCTCCGAGTACTTTTTAAAGGTGAAGCAACAGCAGTTTAAGAAACAAGAGTGACTTTACCAAACTAAATATAATATGAAAAACCTAAGTGGGGGAAAGAAAATAGAACCAAACAACCAAAATCAGCAAAGAATGTCTTCCAACTCAGCTACTTCCAAAAATCCTTATTTCTCCCTCTGTTCCAGCCTCAAGTCATGCTGCTTGCTCAAAACACTATGCCTATAATTAGGTCAATTAGGTCACAATTAGGAAAACAAAAATTCCTTGTATTTAGCAAACACCACCAAAGACTAATTATTAGTAACACCAATAAAAACAATAAAAAAAAACCTTAGGCATCTCTCTGCATAAGGCCTTTTTAAATTGAAATCTAAAAATAGACAGAAAACAAGTGGACCTAAACAATTTTATCAGGGTTGATTTATTTTGGCTTTCTGCTCTCCCTGGTCGCAGTTCAGTGCAACCCATAAATAAGTTAGGCTGGTGAAGGAGATTGACTTTTTGAAGCCATAACAGTAATTGAGGAATTGAACAGCCTGGAGGCTGAAATATTGTCTCCTGGGACATAAGCCTTTGGACCCATTAGCAGCTGTCTATTCTTGCTTTTCCAGCCATCGACACATATGACCATGTCAAAATATTGAACTGATTTCTGTTCCTTTGTCTCGCAAAAGGACAGATCTCATACATGTGCTGGGCTCCATCGTGCCAAAGAGCAGCAATAACTCAAGAACACCTCTGACTAAAATGTCAGCTCTTTCAAAACTACGGGAAGGCCCGAAGGAAATCTGCACCTGTTCAGCATAACCTGATTACACAGAAAGCAGTAATTTTCACTTTTCCACACTGCATTTGCAAAGGAAAGGCTGAAAGGGAAGACTGAGGTTTTTGCTTTTTCTTAAAAACAAAAACAAACAAGCAAAACAAAAACCCCCACCATCACCCACTGCTTCATTTTTCCAGTGATTCTCTCAAGATTAAAATTTACAAAAAAACAACAGACTCTACAGGCAACCCAAACGACAAGCGATGGATTGCCAAACCACCCATGACCGAAGGCAAAAAGAAGTATCTCCAGGTCCTACCTTGTATGAAAACGTGGAAACGCCCTCAGGAAAAGCACGGGCCTGCGGAGGACACCCAGGCCCTCCGTGGGGCACAGCGGCTGTTCAGGGCAGGCCGCAAGGCCTCAGGGCGCGGCCCGCCCTACCCACCCGCTCCGCTGCCACCCCATCGCTGCTTCTCCACCTCTGCCGTCGACCTCTGCCGACACACTCGTGTTTGATTCGCAGCTCAGCATGCAGAAATCAATACTTCTTTCCCTCCCTCCCCAGCTTAGCGTCCCACAAAACCTTTACAAATGTTACTTCTAAGATGGCGTCGCTCAGAGCACACCACAGGCTTCACAGGCGCGACAGAAATGGTTCCCCCCCACACCACCCCTGAGCAGTTGGGTTGGGATCGTTATGACAACCACATACCAAAAAAAGAGTGAAACTTGATAAAAGATCCAATAGGCGCCTCTGGGGACTCAGGGCAGTGCTGTAGCCTCACAGGACCACAGGCCTCCTCAGGGCTCTGCGGCACAAGGAGGTGAGGCAGCAGCCAAAACGTGTTAGCACGAGGTTAACCTTCTCCCAAAAACAAAGCCAGTGTTTAACTTGATATCATTACAGCGATGGATTAAAAAGGAAAAGGGAAAATAGGAGAAAAAGACACTTCATAAATCACTATTAAAATCCACATTTCCACCTTTCGCAGTCAGGCTGTAAAAGAAGAAAAACACACATCTGGTTTTGTTTTGTACGAAAAGATGACGGCAACCAAAACTAAAATGCATTTCTTAACATAGATTATCAACATTTGTTCTGATCAAGCCCATCACACTCTGTTTTGAAGAAAGGCTACCAATGGCATCAAGTACAAACACAGAACAGCAAGGGTTTGCTGTACCTAGTAAGTGCCAAGCAAGACGGAACGTGTACTGGAATTAAGCACTACCAGCTATTCACAATAAGCTATTTTTCAGATTAAATACTGAATCAAACGGACACATCATCACAATTTTTCTTGTAAGACTGTACTCACAGCACCTTGTGCTCTGCTCCTACTAGATCTCCACACAGACAGGATCAGTGATCTGGATGTGTGACACTAAAACAAAGATCTCTAATGAATAACAACGTTATGCTCATAAAATACCATCTCTCCAACTTGCTATTGGGGGAGCTGATGCCAGGTCCTGCCTCCTCAAAGGACTGGGCACTGCTCAGCCCCACAGGCAGTAGGCGGTCGAGGGCTCCCCATTCGCATATCACCGCGCTCTTCCACAAGGCAGCACCTGAGCTAGAGCTGTTCAAGTGGAAAGAGGGATGCATTTACTTCCTTCTATTTGCCAGTATTTCCCCATGACCACGAGAATACTGCTTCGTTGGACATTTTCTCTCCAAGTCTTGTAAACAAAATCCAAAATCTAAAGGAATTTTCAGTCAGCTTTGGCTTAGTTGAAAATTTTCATCCTAAGCAAGCAAAGACTATAACAGCTCTTCACCAAAAAGTCTTTGAGTGAGAAATTCCTATTAGAAATGTGGTTTGACAGCCAGCCCGCTCAAAAAAGAAAAAGAAAACCCATCACTCCTCCACAGCTCCTCAGGAAGGTCTCTGCATGCAGCGGATTATGCAGAGGTGTGCAGGACGAAGGATCACCAGCACCACATTGTTCTTCAGCTGCAGTTGTTCTGCCCTCAGCATGTGCTGTCTCAGCAGCATCCTGCTCCAGCTGACACAGACAAGAGAACAGCACACCATAGCAACTAAACTAAAACTAACTAAATAAATAATTCATAAGGGCACCTTCAGAACAGGTGCTGGAAGCACGTTACTCCTGACAAATTTTTAAACTCAACTACCTCCTACATACTCACAAGGTACACACAGAAGGCAACAAGTCTCTGCTTCTCAGGGAAATAGCAACCTGCACAGTAACGGACAACTTCAGCACTAACTTTCAAAGCCCGTGCTTGCATTGTACTAGGACACAGGCTGCCATGAGGTACACAGGTTAAGCAACTCACACAACTGGCAGGACGTTTGGCATTTATGATTGTAGGGTACTCCCCAAATTGCTCTTCTCTGCTGCTGCACAATGATTATTTTACTTACAGACCTTCATAGGCAAGGGTTAACAATCCCATAGAATACTTTTATAGCACACACAAACAAGTACTGCAGTTCATTTGAAGGTATGTGGTCAGAAAAACCACAGATAGGATGTAATAGAAATTATTTAACGTTACAAAAACTCATATTAAGTAAAAGACTGTATACAAATACTATGTAACATCCAATAGGATTCATCTCCTTTCTCTGCTTTGCACAGATTTACTGTTTTTTGAGAAAATTAAAACTTGTTATTCACTAGGCATCATATCTTTAAAATTCAGTTAAAAAAAAATCTGTGATAATATTTTTAGGTAAAGTATCCCACTTCACGGATTAAGGACATCAAATACTATGGTAAAACAACGTTTCCCGAGATGAAATATTGAGTTAACTTGTATAGGCACACATAAACTTACTAATTAACATTCTGTGAAGGTCTCCCTTCAGTGTGTCCAAGGATTACACTGTAAGATCTTAGTGATTTCACTCCATTGACACGTTTTCTGGCCAACTTACCATATGCATTTGAGATGTTATTTGTATTACAGTTTACAGGGGAAATACCAATAATCTGTAAGAATTTACTTATCAGGTACCACCTTATCAGCAAATTTTCAGCTATAGCAAAATTTTAATTCTATGAAAATATGAAGGAATTACATATTACTATAATTCAGTTATTTTTATCTCACTAAAATACACCGAAGTTTTCTAAATATCTAAACATAATTCATAAATCAAGAAAAGAAGAACTGAGTACAACACCCACGTATTTCACACTCTCCCCATTACCCCTTTTCATATGTTCAAATATGACTCTTTTCTGAGCTACACAACACACTTGCAGGTGGTAGGCACGAGGAAGTGTTCCAGTGCTTGATATAGCTCGTATTCAAGTTTGGAACAGAACTACAAACTGCTATTTTTCATGATAACTAGCACTGACAAGAAAGTAAATACTATTCTAAATGCCTTTGAAAGGCTTCTCTGATTACACTGTTGTAGATAAACTGCTGACAGTTTGAAAAAGCAAGGAGCATTTATCTCACTACTGATGACACACTGAATAAAGATAAATACCTCCAAAATATGCAAAATACCCACACTTTAACATGATCTTCTTTTCCATCAAAATAGTTCTGAGCGTAAGGTAAAAAGTCAAAACTGTGAGCATCTCATCAACCTGACTACATGTCAGATTCGAATTTCAGTAGGTCAGGAGGATGGCAGGTCCAACTTCAGACTGGCTGTTATCACCATCACTATTTTCCCAGCAGCAGCAAGTCCTACATCAATGTTAGCTCTGCCAGGCTTAGGTGTCAACTGCAATGTAATGCTGGGGAAGCCGACTTAAAAAGGAGATAAACACCACAGACATTCATGACCAACTGAAAAGTGTTCCTAATGACGGCAGTGAAAGGAAGTCTGGACTGCAGCGGGCTGACACGAAGTAATACATCCTGCCCCAGCTGGTAACCATTAAGATAGACCTGTATCTGCTTTTACCATCAAGGAAGAACAACAGACAAAACAAGAAAAGCTCAGGGCCACCATCTTTTATTCCTTGAATTATCAGGGAAAAGTTATCCAGAAAGAAGGCGTAACCTTCCAAGGAGCACACAGTACCTCAAACAATGTGCCATCCTGCTGACAAGGTTTGCTCAAATTACACAAATAATGCCCAAACCCGTATCCATCTTCTTATTTTTTATAAAACCAAAAATCACTCAAAGTGTAAATGACCACTGTTCATTAAAATGTATTTTTCTTCAACTGTAAGCACAGTTCTGAATGTCAGGTGAGGCAGTAAGGAATCGTTAACTTCTGAAGATGTATAAATAGAAAATAAAAGCATTTTAAGAATCTTCTTCCATAACCACATCCTCTTGTAGCTTCTGCACCATTTTGTCCTCCAGCTGTTTTGGTGTGCCTTCAAAGCAAAGAAAAAATTAAATTCAGTGTGTCTCTCTAAACCCAAATAACCGTTCTTTGAACAATATTATGTGTCTATTCTAGGTGAAACAGCCTAAATATATTGCTGAAAGAGTTTTTTTAGGAGTAAACCCATCAAGCTTACCAGTATTCATTGCTAACCTCCACCACCACCTAAAACTACTGAAGAGCTGTTTTAACAGAAAAGCTGATGCCATTTTCATGCAAAATCTAAAAAGCAGTCAAACATGTTTTCCCCTTGTATGATGAACTTTGATACAGCTGGCAACACCTAGCAGAACCTTGCAAAGGGCTCTAAACATGCATTACTTTTAACAGATCAGTGGCCTTCACACATTAGTTTTTACATAAAGATTTAAGCCCTCCCCAATGCTGTGTTGGATGGCAATAGTGTAAACTCTCAATAATACTACCAAAGAGGGAAAAAAAAATAATCCAGGATTGACATTTGATGCTGCTCTCCTTAAGGCCCA